GCCTTTTCTTGAACTCTTAATTAGTTCAAAGGGTCGATCAGGTGATGATCAGAGCAGATGAAACTTTTTTCACTCTTAATTAACTAGAGATTTTGAATTTTTTTTTTTTATAAATGAATAGTTTATTTTATTGGTGAGTCTACGCTGACGTAAATCGAAATTAATGAAAAGGAGATATATAGAGTGTAGTAGCTAGAGAATGGTTAGGATAGTACACAAAGTGAAACCATGTATGATTTATATACAACTCCAATTATAGAATTGGGGACAAAAAGATAACTAAAAGAAAGAAAAAAAATTATAGAATTGAGGGAAAATGGATGACTTTGACTCTGTAGCCGCGTGAGAAAGAATTGAAAGGAGGAATGACTTTTTTTTCTTGATTTTCCATTGGGTATTTGAAATCTGACTCGATTAAATTCAAATTCGTGTATTATAAAGTTCATTGTGTCTAGCGCAGTCCATTTTGGGGGGGCAATGCTTCCAATAAGTTTTTTAAAAAGGTTTTATTTAGCGTTCGATATCCATATTATTTAAACCTAACTAAATTCAGAGATTTTACACATTATATGATTTATTTCTTGTAACAATGCTTTAATAGAATTTTTGTCATTTCTAAAGGATTCAAATCAAAATCTATAATTAAGAGCGAAAAAATCTCGAACGATCCTACCACAATCCAACCCATGATGGTGAGTGATGAAAGGAGGAATGACTCATCGACTTAAACCAATATGTTAGAGGAAATACTTAGTTTGACTTGATCAAACTACTATTTTCAGACTATATAATTTATATGCCTAAATATTCGTGTACTTTATATTTAACGATTAAGAAATATTAGTCCACGTTTTCGTTGGTATATATTATTCATATATTTAGATAGTCATGATATGATGTATGTATTATACATATTTCTTTGACTTTGGTGACGATTTTCTGTTTTACTTAAACTAGAAAAATATTACGCATCTGTCACCTTATTAATTGTTAAGAAAATATTTGTTTACATTTTCTTTAAGTCATGTAAAATGGTTCATTTCGGTCAAGTTAAGACATTGAGTCAGTCTGTTCTATCAAGATCTTAAGGCATAACAAATTTGTTATCAGAAATTCAGAAACGATTGGGATGTTGACTCATTATGGAGTAATTATCGGTTGATTCTATGTATTAAAATATTGTTGAATACTTTTTTTAAAAAAAAATTATTCTTTGGAATTGACTAAGAATGGAGGTGTACAACCATTTAATTTATTATTATAACAAATCATTAATTGTTCGGCTAGTAGAGTATATCCTTAATTGTATTATGTATAAAACGTTTATTTCAAGAGTATTTAAAATTGACAGATAACTAATGCAAGAAATTGGATGGATAATTTAGATTGCACTAATTAACCGTTGTTTAAATTATTATTTATTTTATTTTATTTTTAAAAAAACGTAGGTGTCCTTGAATGAACTTTATTTAAGGTAGTATGACGTCTTCATTTGATAACAAAGTTTTCGTTCTTTTAAGTTATTTCGAAATTATAATTTATAGATAATAATTTCAAAAATTAATTTACCTTATTTTTAATTGAGATAAAATAATATTAAATTTGAAATATAAAATTATTTTGAAATACGTTATATATTTAACTAAATAGTATATAAATTTAATTTCAAATTTAATTCAGAAATATTCATCTTATTCCACAAATCAAACGACTCGTGTGAACATGTCCAACAACTCGTCTTTTACTAGCTAAGATGTGGACATTAGGATAGATAATTATTAATTAATCATAACAAAAAGAAAGATTAAACTAATCCCTTAGACACTTTCAAATGATATGTGAAGTTGAATGATTCTCAAATCTCAAGTACTAATTAATTATGTACTCTCCTTCTGATTAAAATATGTTCATTTATTTGAGGAAAAAAAATTGTTTTTGGAATTTCTTAATTATATGTATTATTATCTCTTCTTTTTTTTTGGACAATAGATTCCAATATTATATTTTCTGGTCAAATGAACATATTAAGTGATAAACAGTCAAACAAAGCAGAGTAAAGATTCTTATAATTAAGTGAATGAAAAATGCAAAACGATGACTTTCAACTATAAGTTGACATAAGACTATAATTTCCTTTTCATTATTAAGTGATTTGTTCTAATTCATTAAAGTTTTGATGACAGAGTAATTTGATATATATTAAAATTAATGGAGCTATAATTCTAATTGCGGATTCTGCATACCATAGTTTTGGCCAAAACTTATATTTGTGTTTGTTTATTAAACTTCAAAATTGAATTGTGTAATTATGGATTGTAATGTGAATCCTAATTAATGAGTTTACAATTAATTGTGTGAATTGGACCTATTGTGGTTAAGGCCAATGAAATTAAAAGAGCAAATTGAGATTTATGGCTCGAATTAACATTTTACTCCATCTGTCTCATTATCTATCGTGTTTTTCTCTTACATGTCGTTTAAAAAAATATTGATTAAAAAGTATTTTGATTGTTTTATCTTTATGTATGTCTTAAAATATAATCTTTCTTCATTAAATATTGACTCTATTTATGTGTCACAACTGAGAGATTTGTAGTGTCTAAGAACAATTATTACTAAACGTAAAATGGAGAAAAGCGAACTTTTATAATAATAACTTTTTAAAATAAATATTTTTAATTAAAGATGATAAGTATTTTGAGACGGACATGATATTTTCTTTTTCTTTATAGAAAACTTAAGTGCACATAGAAAAGGAAAGTTTCTTTGCTAGATTCCAAACAAATGAGAACACAATTTGTTTAGAATATAAATTCTTCAAAGTGGCATCTCATCAATTTGTTCATTGGTCAATTTTTAAGTGCTTGTCCTTTTCTGCTATTTTAAGTCACTCTTTTGAAATAAGCACTATATACATCACAAATGGTTAGGAAACTTCTCTTCAAGTTGATTGTTTTACTTTTTCTTATATAAACAATTTTGCATGCAAATTGCAAGTCATCAATGCATGCTTAGTCAATAGTATTATTTATCTTCTCATCATATGATAAATTTAAGTTTTGAAATAAGTGTCATAAGTTAAAAAGCAGCTAAAGCAAGTAGGATAATCGGAAGATGCTCAAAGTCTTAAGTTTTGAAATAAGTGTCATTAGTTAAATTATATTAAATGATTATTTTCATTTATATAAAAGTCATTCAAATAATGTTAAATGGTTATTTCACTTATGGTATATTTTTAATTTAAATTTTGAAATTTCAACTTATACAAGTGAAATTTTAGGATAATGTTATGAATTTCCATTAAAAATAATCATGGAGTTCAATAAGATTAGAGTTTGAAATGATGCATATGAATCTCTAGGACTAAAGTTTGGGATAAGGGTCTGAAAAATACCTCAACTTTGGTCGGATTTGCTGTTGCGATACTAAATTTTTATAAGGACCTATTATCTCCCTAGACTATTTAGTAATGTATTTTTTACCCCTTGAACTATTTAATAGTGTATTTTAAAGGTATATATGTGTCCACGTGGACACATTACTATTTATAATTTTGCATTATTTTTTATGTCCATGTGGGCAAATATGTAAGTTCAAAATACGGTATTAAATAATCTAGGGAGGTAATAGGTCCTCATGAAAGTTTAGTATCGCAGCAACAAATCAGACCAAAGTTGAAGTATTTTTCAGACCTTTATCCCCTAAAGTTTTGACTAGTTTTTCCATGTTTTAACTAGGGAAATTTTGGTCAACATTTTATTTCCTCTTTTAAAAAAATAAAACTTTGAATAGTTTTGCTCTTTTGAAATATTATAAAGTTTGATTAGCGGTTCAAAAAGTGGATTTTTTCCTAAAGAAGTCCTCTTTCGACCCAATAACAGCCCAAAACAACCCTCTTGGGCAACGGTCCAACTGGCGGGTCATTTACACTTTTATTCCTATTTTGTACTGGTCTTTAAACTTTTAGGCATTACGAAAATTACGTAATTACACGACTTAAGATATAATCTCTAAAAATTCTTATTATTTGAATTAATTAAAAAAAATCCTTTTTTTTAATCTAAACATTCGGATACATCACTTCAACCCTATCAGATACATTATATCTTTGTTTATGTACAATGTATATGGTACAATAATATTGTTGATACATGAACTAAATTATTTCAAACCTAAATCAGTATGAATCTGGTTTATAGTTATGTATTTGATACGTAACTCATGTATCGTTTACTATGTATCGTGTGAAGGAGCAATGTATCCGCGAGGTTTGAAAATTTTGGAATTACTGTGATTTGAAAAACTTTCGGGATAGAATGTAATTAGCGCCCAAATTGTTGGGGTTTCTGTACTTTATATAAGAGGCGAAATGATGTATCTGAATGTAAAGAGAGAGAGAGAGAAGGAAAATGGGTTTTTTGTGATTAATTCAAATGGTAGGGATTTTTTGAGATTATGTTATCTTAAATCGTGTAATTACGTAATCTTTGTGGAGCAGAAGTTTATATTTTCGCCTCATAATATTTTATAAGTTATGTCACGCACCTTTAAAAAATTTGTTACTCGCTCTAAGGGTAAAAATTAAAGATCAACCCATTTAAAAACAAAAATTAAAAATCATCTCATTTGAAAGGCAAATCATAATTATTATATCTCAATTGACCGAGTTCAAAACACCAATAAAGTAAAAAAAATGACAGCTCCTAGAACACGTAAAGACAAAAACAAAAAAACGTGAGTGTCATCCCAAAAAGATGGATCCTGTAATTCGTGAATCCAGATTTAGTTCGAGTCCAATGTGAATACCAAGACATCAAGTAAAGAATCAAAAAGAATATTTAAAAAAGTTCCCAACTTGCCCCTTTAGCTTTATAACAAAATAAACTAATTAGGGGAGCGTACGATATAATCGCGCCTAACTGTGACTTTAAATTAAAAAACCTGTTCCCGCTTTTGATCATTATTTGAACTTCAAAAAAGAAGAAGTTATAATTCCAAATATATTAATATTAACAACAAATAAATTTTTGAAAGTTTAATTCAACTCATTTTTTTCTGACAATTATTATTATGTCTATAGATATGGATCTTCATCCTACACCATTTCCAGGTAAAATTATGTTTACGCATATTTAAATTATTATGTTATGTATATATAAATGTTTGTTTTGATATTAACACAAAAATTACAGGTAAATTTCAATCTGTGAAATCAAGATTCAACAAAAACATCTCAAAAGCACCAAAAATCCAATCCAAAGAACCATCCATTCCCAGGTAAACAAAAAAATAAATAAACTTTTTAGACCTTTTTCTTTGTTTATAGTTAGCATATGTTCAGGGGGCGGAGCCACATTGGTAGTTACGAGTTTGATAAACTCTGTAGTTTTGGTTCAAACTTTGTATTCGTGTTAAAAGTTTATTAAATCTGTACAAATAATGTATTCAGATGGTCAGAATTCATAAACTTAAAATTCTGGCTCTGTTTTGTATGTTTGTTTTGGACAAAACAGAGTTTTCGTAAAATTTGAAACACAAATCTTCCAACTTTTCATACCTTTTCTTGTGTATAGATTAGCCAGTAGCGGAGCCACGTAGAATGAAGGGTTGTGGATGAACAATGAACACCCTTCGTCAGGAAATTATATTGTGTAGGTAGAAAATCACACTGAACATAGGTTGTAAAAATTAGTTCTTTTTTTATGCATAGATATATTTCATGAGTCGAGAGTTTATCAGAAACAAACTCTTTATGGTATGCATAAGGGTAAGGTATGTGTACACCTCACTCGTGGAATTACACTGGCTATGTTATTATCCTTGGTATTAAATCTTGAACATTTTTTTGTGAAATTTCTGGTTACGCCACTGAGTCAGCATATATGTTTGTTTCAGGCAAAACAGAGTTTTTGGCACAGTTCGAAGCACGAATGTTCCAACAAAAACAGTTTCTGGAAAGCCATTGGCAAAATCTTCATCTGGGGTTCCTCAAAAACCACTCAAATCACCAAAAAAGACTCAATCTTTGACTGATTCTGCAGTAAATCCATTAACGGAAAGCGCCAAGAAAGAAGAAAACAGAGCAAAAACAAGAAAGAAAAGTGTCTGTTTTCGCGAAAACAGAGATGTTGTTGCTGCTGCTGAGCCAAAAACTCCGGTGAAATCGCCTGTTTTGGCGAAGCCTCGACTCTCTGGAAGCACAACTCCTTTTCACAGTGCTGAGAAATGCAGCAAATGCAGATTTGATAGATTGGAAACGTCGAGTTATTGGCTTTCTCAGATCAAATTGGCTGAAAATGTTGGAAAACACTCGGTTTCTGCTGCTTTTTTTCGACTGGCTTTTGATACCAAAGCTGAGGTTCAATTTTCCCCTCTTTTATTCTAAGAATTTATTACTATTGTTTCCTTTGCTTCAGTTATCGTATTATTTATTTATGTTGTTGTTCTTTTCTCCGCTATCCTTCTACTTTATATACTTCTAATGCATGTTTTGATATGTTTTACTTGAGTCGATGATCTATTGGAAACATGTAAACAACTTCTAGATCTTCACGAGGTAGGGGTAAGGTTGCATACACATTATCCTCACCAGACCGCACTTATGAAATTTTACTTGGATATGTTGTTATTGTTGTTGTTATAAGTGCTTCATGGGGCTTAATTATATCAATTAGTAAAAATAAATTTTGAAGTAGTTTGTGCATATTTTCGAGTACATGTTTGAAAGAACGTCTATCATTTTGAACATAGTTTAATTTCTATACACTGAAAAATATGAAAGTATTATATAGTAATACATAAGGTTTATGTATTATAAGTGTATAAATCTTCTAGACCATCATGTTAAGTTGACTAACACTCACTAAACAGCTCGTAGTTAACATGATTTTTTGAAAAACTATTGCTAAATAGGACTAATGACGAACTTATACTTTCTTCGTAGTGATAATAATAATGTCAAGAATATGAATTTTTTCGAGCATATATTATAATACTAACTTGATTTTGTTGTTTATTTCTCTTAGCCCTTTCGAAACATTCTGTTGGAATTGAAAAGGTATCTACGAAGACACAAGCATTTATCCGAGGGCAAAGAATGGGAAAAAGTTTGTTTTAGCTATGGTTTATTGAAGGATGAGAGCAATTCTGAGGACAAAATTGGAAATAGTAGCAAGAACAAAGAGATTGAATTGGAATGTACCATTGTTGAAAAAGAAAAAGAAGAAGAAGAATTGAAGTGGTTGAATTTGGAAGTTGATGAAGAATATGGTATTATTCAAGAAGGAAATGAACTTCCATTTTCATTATTGTGTTGAATATTATGTACTAAAGTTATACTAGTATTTGTGTTTACATATTATATATATATAGTATTGGTTTGTATTTTGTGTTTAGTTTTAGTGTGTACTGATTGGGGAATGTAACTAGTAGAATAGTAGTAATATGTTTTGGTTTGGTTTGATTTGTTCTAGTAAATATAGGATCGGACCTCTTTGTAACAATTATCTTTTATAACAATCATGTTTTCTGTGGAAATATTCTCTATAACAATATTTTATTGTCGCAGCCGTAACATATATTTGGTCAAACAATATTGTTATAGAGAAGTTTGACTGTGCATAGAAATTAAGGCATGTATTACTTTTGTTGTTCATTATGATGATTGATCTATCATACTTCGTATGTGTAGAACACTCTAAAGATTTCTACATGTAAGCTTCCACTTTTATTTGTGTTGAATTTTTTGTGCTTAAGTTATAGTAGGGAATGTAACTGCTAGCACTAATAAATATGTTTTGGTTGTGGATTATAATGTGAATTTATAATCTTGAAAATAAGATAATGTTAAGTGTTATAACTTAAACTCGGTATAAAGTACCCGAGGCTTTGGGGAATAGGTATTTACAAGGAAGACATCCATAATGTGAATTTACGATCTTGAAAATAAGACAACGTTTAAGTGTATAACTTAAACTTGATATGAAGTACCCGAGGCTTCGGGGAATGGGAAAAAAAAGGTTAGGGGCATTCCGAGAATTGAACTCGGGACCTCTCGCACCCTAAGCGAGAATCATACCACTAGACCAAATGCCCTTCTTGTAATATTTGGACGTAAAAGTTGTAAAAAAACGAATATAGTAAAAAAATAATGGGAACAAAAATATTTTCTTGGGCTAAGTTGAACCCAATTAATTTGGCAAAGTTTGGGCCAGCTACAATTACAAGGCATATATATACATGTGATATTTCTGATTAAATTTTTTTCCTCTTTAAAGTTTTTATGGCTAGCAGAGTTTAGAGGTTGATTCAGGATTTTAAATCGGTAAATGTAATAGTTATACTAGTGATTGTAGTATCCGCTAACTCTTTTTTTGATGGTAGATTCGAATTTAGTTCAAGTATAAGGTAGTTACTAGTAGGTACACTCGCATCCACAACAGCGCAGGCATAGACTCAAAATTTGATATGATATGTTTGAACTTTCAGATTTTTAGTACTGAATTCATTATAGATAATAAAAAGTTATGGATTCAAATTTAATATTCATTAAAATGGTAATAATTTTTTTGTATATAAGATCATCTACGTTAAAAATATCAAATTCTATTGAACTCGTAATTATAATGGTGGACCCGCCCCTACATGCATGCATCCCCCACCCCCCTAGGTTCTGAGGATACATTTATTGTCTCCAGCAGTATGTGAATGGCCATGGCAAGTCCAACTCATTGAGAAAATAAATTTGCAATAAACTCTGAAGTGAAACATCAAGAAAGGGATTGTGACTTGTGATAAGAGTATTAAAGTGCTCTCTCATTCTTGATTAAAAATTCTGAATTCGAGCTCTGATAAGTACAAAGTCGTTATTATAAGGGAGTGTTTTACTGCTAACATGGAACTTTTCAACGCATATCTAAATTTAATCAAGTCTCAATACGAATACCTAAAACCAAGCTAGAAAAAACATCAAGAAAGGCACACACTGCACATAACAATAATAACAAACATTTTTTTGGTTACCCATCCAATGTGCAGTATCTGCATTGGAGTCCGACTAATCCAGATTTGCTCTATTGCATGTCTCATTTGACATTTCTTATGAGGTGACACTCGGAACAAAATTTCTTTTCTATTCTCAGTACTCGAATTCGAAACCTCTGATCAAGGGTGGAGGAATCACAACCATCCTACCACGACCCACATCGATATAATAATAATAATAATAATAAGGGATAAGGGGTCTGAAAAATATCCCAACTTTGGTCGGATTTGTTGTTGCGATACTAAACTTTCATGAGGACCTATTACCTCCCTATACTATTTAATATTGTATTTTAAACATATATATTTGCCCACGTGGACATAAAAATAATGCAAAATTATAAATAGTAATGTGTCCACGTGGGCACATATATACCTTTAAAATACACTATTAAATAGTTCAGGGGTAAAAAATACGGTATTAAATAGTCTAGGGAGGTAATAGGTCCTTATGAAAGTTTAGCATCGCAACAGCAAATCCGACCAAAGTTGGGGTATTTTTCAGACCCTTATCCCTAATAATAATAATAATAATAATAATAAGGGATAAGGGTCTGAAAAATATCCCAACTTTGGTCGGATTTGTTGTTGCGATACTAAACTTTCATGAGGACCTATTACCTCCCTATACTATTTAATATTGTATTTTAAACATATATATTTGCCCACGTGGACATAAAAATAATGCAAAATTATAAATAGTAATGTGTCCACGTGGGCACATATATACCTTTAAAATACACTATTAAATAGTTCAGGGGTAAAAATACGGTATTAAATAGTCTAGGGAGGTAATAGGTCCTTATGAAAGTTTAGCATCGCAACAGCAAATCCGACCAAAGTTGGGGTATTTTTCAGACCCTTATCCCTAATAATAATAATAATAATAATAAGGGATAAGGGTCTGAAAAATATCCCAACTTTGGTCGGATTTGTTGTTGCGATACTAAACTTTCATGAGGACCTATTACCTCCCTATACTATTTAATATTGTATTTTAAACATATATATTTGCCCACGTGGACATAAAAATAATGCAAAATTATAAATAGTAATGTGTCCACGTGGGCACATATATACCTTTAAAATACACTATTAAATAGTTCAGGGGTAAAAATACGGTATTAAATAGTCTAGGGAGGTAATAGGTCCTTATGAAAGTTTAGCATCGCAACAGCAAATCCGACCAAAGTTGGGGTATTTTTCAGACCCTTATCCCTAATAATAATAATAATAATAATAATAATATCAAACATTGAATTGACAATCTGTAAAACTGTTATTAAACAGTAAAATGTATGAAACAATAAAAGACTTGCGGATTAAATGTTGACATGAAACATTATAACCCATGCAAATTGGACAGTGGCCCCAACTGGCCCATATTTACTGTTAAAGGTAAGGCCCACTGACCAATTAGGCCCAAATATGAAAAAATGGAATCAACTTCCCAAGACATGTTGGCCCATATTGATGTTGTGGTAACCACATAAACAAAAATTAATTAATTTAATTATTTTATAAACATTGGAGAAAACAAATATATATTTTTGTGTTGGGGGAAATATTGGCTTTTTTAGTTTTCACCAATTGGGGAAAAGGGTCACCTTGTTTCATGTCTCATAAGTTGTTTTTCATTGGGATGTTAACATTTTTTTGTTAGGTGGCTTAGAGAAATTTCACTTGTCTAGTCGTAATCGTTAATGGTTGTATATTCAATGTATAACAAATGTATATTACTCGCTAAATTTTGCAACAATAAGAGCACTAAAAAGAAATTGGTTATTGTCAATCTTGGCCTCTTGTTTTTTTTTTCCCCTCAACCAAATAGGCAATAACTAACATACATTACACTAAAAATCTTAATTGATGCTTTCATCCTAAGAAATTGTAGGGGAACCAAATTAAAAAGAGATTAATTAAGACATTGACATGGTGATTAAAACACTTGGATTGCTCACCTCAATTATTTACAAAAATAAAGAAATGGCATGAATGGATCACCACACAATGTCCAATCAATCACTTTGAGGTAGATGTTATAACAACTCTCCTTTTTTTGAACATCATACAGTTGCCAAAATGTTTGTTTTTTAGGCCCCATTTTTTTACAATTTGTTTGTTCTTGTTCTTTTTTCCCTATCATAGTATAATAAATTATTTGATTAGTGAGGCATAGTGTGTGACTTGTTTAGGAGCAGAAATCAAACATCATTAATCTTTGTGTAGGTCTTGGAGGTGCATGAATTAGGGACAAAAAGGCCCTCTCACCATAGAGATATTGATAGGGCAAAAAAAAATGTCTTTCTTGTTTGTTTTCATCATGGGGCACCATGTTTTGTATCTTTTTTATTAGGGATCTTAACATTTTTAATCAGTCAGACTAAAAATTATTCTACGGGATAATCATAATAGTTTGTAGTTGTTGTGTATACCCAGTATATATAAAATGTATAACAGATATATTATTTGATACGCGTTGATGTGACTAATCTTTCGTGTGGTATAAGACTCACTAAATGGGTAAAATGCTTTCCATTAACATTTTTTTCATTCTTAGGACTCAAACATGTGGATTTTTTTAGGATCGACTCCTCCACTCTTAACTAGGTTTCGAGTTCGAGATCTTCGAAATGAAAAAACATTTGTTGTGAGTGAACACCTTTAGAGATAAACCATGCAAAACAACAACAACAACAACAACATATTCAATTCAATTTACAAGTAAGGTTCGGAGAGTGTATCGGCTCAAGTGCAACATGGGCCTTGCTATGCACAATTTTGCTTTTATTTAACTAGATTTCGGGTTCAAAAACTTATAAATGAAAAAAAAAACAACTATTGTGAGTGAACGCCTCTGGAGATAGACCATGCAACTCAACAACATAGCCTTCGCAATTTAACAACCGGAGTTCAGAGAGTATATCAACTCAAGTGCAACAAGGGCCTTGCTATTCGCGATTTAAATTTCAGTCCGACTCTAATACAAATATCGAACCACGGTTAAAAAGCAAAAAAAAAAAAAAACATTGAAGAAACATAAAATTGAAATTGAAAAAAGAAAAAAGAAAAAAAGAAACAAGGTCTAGGTGGGTGGTGTCCACAAGCACATGCCCAAGTCAAGGGCTTGGGGGGGAAAGACAAGGACAGATGAGAAATCTGGAATTTTGTACGTTAAACACGGGCGATAAAGTTAGTACTACTAATCATGAATAGTTAATTTTTGAACAGTATCATTATTTAAATTCGGACGATCAAATTCAGGATGTTTTCAAATACTTCTCTCTATATAGCCTATAAGAT